GTAATGCCTGTGGAGGCCAGAAGAGGGTATCAGATCACATGAAACTGGAGTTAAGGAAGAGTGTTAGCCACCATGTGGGTGCTGGGAATCAAACCTGGGTCCTCTGCAAGAGAAGTCAAAGCTCTTAACCACTGAGCCATCTCTCCAGTCCCTGGAAAATAATTCTGGCTGAGACATGAGGGAGAAAGAAGACAAGGGACAGAAAACGAAAAGGAGGAGATATACTTTAGTGATTTTTTTCTTTCTTACTAGGGACTCAAGACACGTTAGAGAGAGGTCAGTGGGTAGCTGGTGACCTAGCAGCAGGTGTCCTCTTAGGGGTGAAGTTCATGTCAGGGGCAGCTATTGGCTGACAGTCATCGAAAGATATCCTTCAACACAACTTCTTTTCTGCTTGCCACCTGCTTCTGGTGAACATCGTACTTTGAACAGACAGCTGAGGTATGCAGAGCTGGGACAGGGCAGATGGGAAGTCTACATGATGTTAGAGACCAGGAAGGAGAAACGAAACTGCCAGCTTCTTTCACGTGAAACCTGTACCCAGAGACAAATGTAGAAAGCTTCAAAGTGTTACAGGAAGTTAGGTTTTCAGAGAAAATTCTTTTCTCCAGGACCTTTAAAAAGAGAGCAAATATGTTGAGATGGTGAAGACCATCAAAGAATAATATAACTATTTCCTTTAATTTTTACAAAAACTTTGAGACTTTCATACATGCATATAAGGTGTTTTGATCAAATCCATGCCCACTCCACCCCCTCCAACATTCCCCCATCTGAAGAGGTAATCCTAAAATCTTTTAAGGATTAGATACAAGCTCCCAAATACTTTTGACATTTTTGGCCTTTGGGACAGAGTATGTTGCCAACAGGCCCAAGGACACTTTGACTTTTAGCCAAGAAACTGGCTACTTTTCTTTGGGGTCTTTCTACCCTAACTGCCTAGCCAATTCCTACCTCCTATTCTTATCACACCATCCTCTGAAGAGCTTACCCAAATTGCTAATAGCAAACTGAGATTCAGAACCGCTCTGTTCTTCCCTGCTGGACAGAGACACAGGATGAGGCAATTGGGGTACCTCTTCAGTGGGTCTATCTAAAAGACCCCCAAATTGCAGGGAAATTGTAGGGAAAAAAGAAAGTCCTTGACTGGTGACTAGAAGATGTGAAGGAAAAGTAAAGGCAAGAGTAGTTAGCATTACAAGTTCAAGACAGGAAATCAGAAAAAAAGTCAGAACAGGGCAAATTTCAAATGTTCATATTGAAGTCCATTGGGATTTCTTGATGAGAGCTTCCAAAAACATCCCTCTATTGGGTTCCTCCTCATTTTTCTCTTGTCTGCCGAGGCTGGACTCAAGAGTGATGGACTCAGGATTTGTTTTCAGGCACTTTGTTAGCTGATGGAGTGGCTAGAATCAGTGTCAGTTCCCTCTCAAAGGCTTCTAGATAGGGGGAGAAAACAAATTTAGCCATCATTTTAGAACAATAACAGGTTGTCTCCCTTAGCTACAGGTGGGCACTGCAGTATTGCAGACCAAGGTTCGAAGTCTTACATCTGAGCAGCACTTTCTGCTTAGAATCAAAACCATCAATGAGAAATAATTGTTTAAATAACATTTTATATGAACTTAAACCTACTTCTGTGAAGTGTAACCCCTTTAACTCTTAAGGAAATATACTGATAACTTTATTCTTTGGTTATACTTTCCTTTGGGGTGTTTAAGACCATACAGTTGGCCCAAATAAACCAATTTATTTTTGCTCTTCAGATTGAGGACCTGTTCCTTAGAGGTCACATGGGCTTTGGAGGAGCCCCTGGCTCCTTTCTTTTACCAGTTCTACCTATGTGAACATAAGTCAAAGGTTATGCTCAACCATGGTTGGCTTCACTTGGAAGCATGGAGGAAATGTTTCCTCTGAGTTGATCTTCCTCTTTGTAGACTGGACACTGGGTCAAGTCCATCTCGTGGGGTCTCCATGTCCTCCTTGAACAAGAGGACAGGTGACTCACCACAGTTATAGGACAGTTTTA